TACATGTTTTTTAATCTTTCATAATTCTTATAAACTAAACAAGAAACAAAGTAATAGGCCAGCAACTTAAAAATCCAGTATAAATGGTTTGCATTATTCATATTTAAATTAATTTTCCTTTATCACCAATGCAACTCAATCTGCAAAGTTACCTTCTCAGCTACAATTTATCTATTGTTGACAAAACATATCGATTCTGGAAGACTGACTTCAACATGTAGTATCAATTGGAACCACTTTTCACAGTTGCAGAACACTACCTCAGCCACTATTTAACTGTAAAACAAATTGCTTAACCCTTATGTCCAGAAAACCTCCTCACAAATGAAGCAGCCATGTATTTTTATGGAAAGACATGAACATCATCTTATGTTCTGTGGTCTTCATGGGCTGTAAGCACATTCCCTGTTCAGATACACACATCATACTTCCTCCTTGTTTTTTAAACAGTAGATTTGCTGGCTGGGAAAATACCTGGAGCAGTTCCCAAGGGAGCAGCCAGGCTGTCCTCCCTGGACAGCCTTCGTGGCCTTAGCACTCACCAGCAGGAGTCACGCAGCAACACAAGTCAAGCAGGGTCCTGGCAGCAATGGCCCAACTGCTCCTACAAAACTGTTCTCCCTCTCCCTTTGCTGTCACTTTCTTTTTTTTGTCTGATTTTTGTCCTCAGAGAATCTCCCAGCTTCCCCTTCCCAGTTCCACCAGAGTGGAAAGCCTCTCTGCTCCAGCCCAGGCTGCTGCCCAAGTACTGTCCAGAGAGGCCTTCAGTGGGACTTGGCCATTTCCTCCCAGCTATCTCATTTCCCCCGTTATCGTGCCCTCGCAGACCGGCATGGCCCTGGCTGCCCACCCCATCCTCCACCTTGCAGGGCTGCTCCTGGGCAGCGAGCCCAACAGCCACACAAGCCTTCTCCACCCAGCAGAGGAGCCTTGCTCGAGCTTTCGGCCACCTCCCCTTCCCTTGCTCACTCGCCTCCCCTGCTCTGGTTCGGAGGATCCCTATGCAACTGGTGCTGAGCGATCAGCAGATCATACAGGGGTTTGTTAGCAGAGCCCTCCTGTAACAGGCCAAGCCATGGCTTTCTCCCAGGGAAGCTCGTGGGATTCAGGATTAGGTCCTGGCAAGCACTTGGGCAGCCGCAATGAGATGTCAGTGGGAATCAGGAAGCCAGGAACACAATGCTGAACACCCGTGGATCCGTCCGGCTTGCTCCATCTGCGCCAGTTCCCCCCGCCCTGCTGCTGCCTATCCACATGCTCCCTTCCTGCGTTTCCTGGGCTGAACTCCTCGTACTTGTCATTACTGGATTCCACCTAATTGATTTCAGACTCCATCCGATCTGTCAGGACCTGCTCCCCAGAGGACCTGCAATCTTGCCTGCTTGGCACCGTGCACATTTCTTTCCAAGTGAACTCTCTATTGCAGGGGACACTTCCAAGAAAATTTCCCTGGGGCTGAACGGCAATCACAGGCTCAGAGCGTAAGTTTGCTCATGAGACTATCATGAGGAACTGCGTCAAAATCCTTATTCAGGATACACTTACTCCTTCCCCTTTAACAATTCTGCTGCTTAGTCAGAATGAGATTAGACCGACATGGCAGAGTCTGTTCCTGGTAAACTTACACAGACAGTGTGTACCACACTATGATCTACACATTTATAAAACTGACAGATCAGTGTGTGGCAATTTCATCTAGCGCACCAAAGGTGAGCTGCCTCATTGGCAATTCAGAGGTCTGTCTCCTTTGGGAAGGGAAACACAGTATCTGCCCTCTTCCAGCCTTCTGGAAATCCCATGGCCTCGAGGTGCTCCTGAAAATACCACCTATGGGGCAGAAATCACAATAGCTCATCCTTTAAATGCTCTTCAGTACATTTCGTCAGGCCTGGTGAACTTGAATACCTCCATTTATGTAAACATTCCCTGTTTTATCCCTTTTCTTGCCTGCAATCCTTATGAAAACTGCTGGCACTAGGCATCTGAAAACAATTTATCCTTTTTTTTTTTGCAGTAAGACCAAAGAAAATAAGACAATGGTTATTTCAACTTTTTCTGTACTTTCTACTTTTCAGGTTATTTTGTAATCGATTTCTGTGTGTTTTTCCATCTTAATCCTAACATATTAACAGAAACTTTCTCTATGGACTTACTTGTCCTTGCTAAATGAAATACTTTTACATTTGATCCTCTCCAGTTCTATCCCAGCCTGCTTGCAGTACTCTTGTTATTCCTGTAACTTTATTTTTGACTGTCTGATCATTAAAAAGCTTCTGATGCACCTGACAGTGTACCATCTTGTATTTAATGCAAGAGCTTTCTGTGGTGGTTAGTACATCAGGGATCCTTTAATTCTGCGTATAAAAGCATGCAAGTAAGTGATGATGGAGTAACTATGTCTGAACTAATAGCTTGGCATCGGCTCTGCGACAACTGCCCCCATACCTGCTCTGATCCCGCAGTGAACCTACAGCCGCTCACACTTCTCTCATGACAAGGTACGTTTCCTTGCGTTTGTCATGAGCAGTTACATGTACAGTGCCAGTTACCACCGGGCAGCTGCATCCTTAGCCACACTGCATGTGCACTCCTTCACTTACCAGCAATAATCACTCATATGCTCATACCTTGTTCTTCACAAGTGATCTGACCTAATAGCTCCCCGCCTCCACTGATATTTCCTGCTTCTTTTGGATCCATCATCCTTCTCTGTAGTCACTATATGTTTCCTTTTCTCAGAGGAGTCAGCTCTAGATTTATAACTATTTTCATCCCACATGCATTCTACCATTAGGTTTTCAGTAAGTTCCTGCTCATCAAATTTTAAATTCCTAGGTTATTATCTCCCTCAACCATCTAAAACACAAAGCTGTTCCATGAGGATGCTGGCTGTCCCAAGAATCGTAGAAAGCATTCAGCTGTAATATTTTTGCAACAGCTATCCAGATAACTGTGTTGCCACCAGACCTTGTCCTTCAGATGCACCTAAGAGCAGATAAGACAACACTTAACAACCTGGGGCGGGGGACAAACCCACAAGTGAAATCCTGGGGCTCTGACTCCAGGTCTCCTGAAAATTTATTAGCACACAGAACACGAAAAATCACATTCTCCCACTCTCTGCCCCTTCAGGGTCAAGTGCTCAGTTAATCTCCTGAAAGTCACCTGCAGGGCAACTATGATTGCTGATGCATTTTCCACTTCCACACAGAACACAAGTACAGAACCACAAACATTTTGGCTCTGAGTAAGGTGTTGCCAGCCCAGATCAGAGGAGATGCTGAGAGCTGCCCAACCATTCTGGGACAGGTTGTAATCTGTGATCAAGAAGAAATATTTTTTTTGTCATCAATGAAACAAGCAAGCAGGGCTCACTTTGGGAGCATTTAGTTTCTTTATGTGGCTTCAAATGGAGCCTGGCCCCCTCTGCTCCACACCAGCATGCTGCCTTCTGAACAGCCCTCTCAGATCACCCTATCTCCCCTCTCCTTTCTGTTCCCTACGCCTCCTGCTCTGCAAAGTGAGCACCTGACTCACTATCACCACAGAAACATGCATCCCAAAGCAGCATATGACGTGATTACTGAAGGATTTACAGAGCGTCCACATGGAAATTTCCAAATAGTGGCAATTTTCCAATAGGACTCTCTTGATCTCAAGTTACACAATATGTCAGCTGATAATAACTTTCCCTTCTGGTGTGGTGGAAGAACGTAACCTCCACCAAGATCACGCAGGCAACAAGGGCCACCTTTTTTTGTTTGTTCTCGCCCTCCACACTACTCAAGAATCTGTGGTCATCACTCCCTGAGCACCTGTGCTGAAATGGCCATCTTCAAACAGACAAACAAGTGGGTATGAACTGATTTTGAACAATTCAGGTCAGAATTCAGAGTTTTGACTATCAGAACAGCAAAAAAGCATAGTAAGGGTAAAAGCTGAGATGGAAGTGGAGCTGGCCCAGTTTATAAAGAGGATTACACAACATTGTTACCCGCAAGATCAGGGACTGGGATGATGGGTCTGCAACCCCTTCTGATTCAGTGTGCCTAAACTGATCTCTTACAACAAGTGATGCCATCTGCCAAACACAGGTGACAGAGGGTGTGACCTACAGATACCAGAAAGCCACAGTAAATTTGTTTATTCAACTATCCAGAAAGTAAACAGCTTCTACAGAAGCTGCAGAAGCACAGTTAGAAGACACTTTGGAAATAGAACCTGAACAAGGCAGGAGAGGTGGCTTGGAGATGAGTTTGAGGAGAGCGTCCTCATAGGAAAGTGACAGAATGAAAGACAGCAACAGAGATGACAGGGATGACAGAAAGCCATGGTGCCATAGCAGGCTTGGGCTACCAGATTTATTGAGTGTGTTGCAGTGTTGCTGAGAGGCCTCCAGCAGTGACCAGTGCCCTACTGTGCAAGCTACTGTACACACATGCAGTTGACAGACAGTCCCTGCCCTAAAGAGTTCAGAATTACAGGAATGACAACATGCAACAGGCAGATGAAGCAACGGAAGATGTAACGATCCCTGCCCTTGGGTCTTGGACTAGGGTAAATGGAGGCTGCAGATGAAGATCATGTCACTTCAGAAGCATTTTTCTCCAATCAGAGGGGAATTTTGATGAATATTACTACTCACCACAAGCAAGCATCCAGCAAAAACAGTAAATCCCTTTGCGTGAAGCTGTTTTGCCAAGGCGTGTCCAAAACCTTTGTCACAGCCTGTTATTAGCACTGCCTTCCCTTCAGCCTGTGTGGGGAAAGAAAGTAATATTATTATCATCGGATATCACAATGGTGTAGGCATCACCAGCACCCAGCGACATAGCAGCTTGCAGCCCTGCAGCCAGGGCCAGCCAGTATTCCAGCTGCAACTCACAGCTGCCACATACCTGTCTGCACACTAACCTGACCACAGCCGACACCCAGCAATTTCAGTGGAGCATCTGCTAGGTCAACCAGCGTAAACAAGGTGACAAGACTCCCATGTAGAAACACAAACAGCTCCCAACTACTGTGAAACCTTAAATTTATGCAATTGCTGGTCTGTAACAATTTGTGTTGCCTTGATACCCGAGCTAGAACAGTAAATCTTTCTTTCAAGTACCAGTGGCCAAAGCAGAACAGAAACATTTCAAAAGAAGTTAGTGATCTACCAGCTCACAGGCATTCTAAGAAAGAACAGCATAGAAAACATCCAAATGATAGTATGTCACCTGCTTGAACTGTACAGCAGCTCTCTTAACTGCAGAGTGACTCTCCATCATCTGTTCCCCACCCACTCCCACTCTATGCGGTACTTTCCATGCTGTATTTTAGCATGCAGGAATGTGACTATAGGTTAGGGTTTCCTTCTGAAACACTGCCGTCTTAACAGAAACAACTTATCAAATCCTACAGTTCTCTCCTACATTATTATCATCTTTTGACTGACAGATAAATTGAGAGAGAAGATTCGATACTCCATCTGATATGACACAACAGGTTTGTGACAGATCTGAAAACAGAATCCCGAATCCTGAAGAGAAGCCTATAGAGAAACACTGCCCATTCACCCTCTTTCTTTGCTTGAAACCCATCTCCCCTGCTCTCCTCATCACAGCTGTGAAGCAAAGAATTCCTAACACTTAACCCAAGTAGCAGGCACTCAGCTGCAGTGCTGCACACCGAAACCATATCTGCGAGGCAATAACATGATACAGTAATATAGATCTACAGAATGCAATAAGGAAGTGAGGTCACTTCCATCTCTGTGGAGATATCTGCAACTAATATTCTGCTACTGTATTAACAACAGCTGGAATACGAACATTTGTATTTTATACTACTCACGTATGAATTGCACTGGTTTGTCCAGCCACTTTTTCAGGCAGAAATGGGGCAATCACCAGTGCTCTCAATTTCTTGTTATGCTGACATGCATGGTAGTGAAGTGGAAATAAGGAATAATTGCAGGGTGATAGCGATCAGAGCATTACTGCACAAACTCAAGATCAGCCTAAGCAGAGAGCAATATGCAAATAAGCTACACCCTGTCCTCTAACTCATGTTGAAGTTATTGCTTTCAAAGGGGAGTCATGATCTGAAGTTGAAATGAGAGCTGATCAAAAGTCTATCCTGCATTTGTCATACAAACACCCACATTAACACCGAATCCAGCACTCAAGACAGAAAGCACTCAGCTACAGGCTAGCTCTGCTAAAACTCTGAAGGTAGCTACAGCTAGAGGACAAAAGGTAAGTGAGAATTAAATATACAGTGCTCAGTCTTAATTTAATTTACAGTGACACAGCTCCAAGAGAGAGGATATCAAGTACAAACCAGATCACAGAATGTGCCAAGGTTACCTCCCACAATAATTCAGCAAGCTGGCCCATGGAAAAGAAAGGATTTGACTTTTTTCTCTGCCTCACCTCCCTAGACCCTTTGCCTCTGAATCCTGAAAACAGAGGACGTCCCAAAAGAGCAGGAACTGTGCAGGAAATAAGGAGTTGTGATCACTTCCAGAACCCAGGATGGGCAAAGAAAGATGGCCAGTCCTCAACCAGCATTAGCTCCTTCATCAGCTGGTCTGATACAGACAGAGCTCAGCTGCAGTAAATAAAAGCAAACGGCTGGGCTGTATTCCTGTGTGCACCTAGTTTTAACTCTCAGCAGCTGGTTTGCTTTCTCTGGTTAAAAAAACAACCAAACAAACCACCAAAATGTAGACATAGAGTAGGAGGTTTAAAAATCCTCTCAGCTATCTATAACAGGGAGAAAAGTGAGGAACAACTTAGGGTATGAGAAGGTTCCTGTGATTATTTGTTAATTATTTGCTATTACCCTAATTGCTGGTAATAAAACGTGACTGCAGCAGCATGGTACATGCTAACAAACTCGCAAAAACCCAAGGGATGTACTGGATCTCCCATCTATAGCTGCCCCCGTCTTTGTGCCATGCCTGATGGACAGAGAGCTCCCAGGGATGAGAGCAGGGAGCAAAAAAAAAAAAAAACTCCAAACATAGAAATGGCCGCATCCATCCTTATCATTTGAAAGTCCCAAGATAAGGCCTAATGGGCCTCATTCCTGGAGTTTGATAAGGTCAGTCTGCAGCCTACAGTGCAGAGGCAGGCAGAGAGGCCTAGCTATCACCTCTCCAGCAGGCATCACAGTGACCTTAATCAGCATTTTCAGGAACTTCAGGTGCCTCACTCACCAACGGTCATACAGTCCTGTCAGGAAATACTTCACAGGAGACAGCACGCCTGTACAGTGCTGCCAGGGCACCTGAGACCTGCTAAGAGTGCAGAATAACTTCTTTTACTGGAGGTGCTGCTGTGGCATCTGGGCAGGGTAATTCTGTCTGTATCCTCGCTGCGTGATCCACAGCACTGTAATACACCTTCCACACAAACAGCCCCAGTGAGGCAGCCAGCTCAGGTACACACAGCTCACCAGCTTCTCTTACTGGGATATGATCACTTTATTAAATAGTAGGATTTATTTTACTCATGCAGGTGATCTATCAGAATTATACACATTTATTGCAAAAGAGGATAAGGAAAGTGAAGCTACTTTGTCAGCCTCAGTCTCTCTGGACAATGTGGGAACCCACCATGCTTGCCTAGTCGTCTTCTACTGTGTCACTGTGTTTTCTGGATCCTGTTCCCTTTCATGCCCTCCCCTGACCATCTGCTTGTTATCAAACAGATTAATTGGAAGATGAGAGCAGTTACACAGTAAAACTTCGCTTGTTCCTTTTTTCCAGAGTCAGGAAGTTGAGGTTTTCAATCCCAGGAAAAGGAACTGAAAATATTCACTAAAGGGAAGGTGTTTTCTCAGGTGGGAAAGGGATGGGGAACATCAGAGGAGCAGAGCAGATGGAAGAGGGAAACGGGAGTTGCAACAGGCCAAAGCTGTTATCTGGCCATTTCAGAGGGGCAGGACTGAGCTGGAGGCCCTGGACAAAACCAGGTTCACTTGTGAGTTCTTCCCAGTGCCAGCAGGGAGGTTGTCTGGAGCACAAGCAAGAGCAAAGTTAACTCCAATCCAGTGACAGAACCCCAGACATTTTGTGTTATTTTTTAAAAACGTTTAAGAGAGTAGTTACGCAATTCTGTTCGATTCACAGAGCTTTTCTTCCCTCCTTTGCGCTCATTTCCGAAGTTAAGAGGACCGGAACAAAACCCACACGCCCGCCGCTTCGTGAACGCCGTGAAG